GCAGGGAGCCTGATGCGGGGCTCGATCCCAGGACCCTGGGACCATGACCTGAGCCGAAGGCAGACGCTTAACGACTGAGCCACCCAGGTGCCCCGTCCAGTTAGTTAACTTACAATGTAATATTAGTTTCAGATGTACAATATGGTGATTCAGCACTTCCATACAACACCCAGTGCTCATTAGAAGTGCGCTCCTTAATTCCCGTCACCTATTTCACCCATCCCACACCCACCTCCCCTCCAGTAACCATTACTTTTTTCTCTGTACTTAAGAGTCTCTTTCTTGGTTTGCCAAGGCATTCTAAGGAAGGCAGCTTTAAGCAAGCAATGGCAGTGATCGAGGCACTAAGACCTCACCCCCAGGACCATGACTGGCACCTCTTGTTGTTCACAGAGCAGACTCTACCTACTAACTGAGCCTCAGAGAACCTGCCTACAGATTTTGCCTGGAAGTACAGCTGCTAATAGAATGAATATGGGTTGTGGTTCCCTATCTCCCTTTATATCTTTTCCAAGAGCCAGGAGTCTGTTCAGTCTCAGTTGCTGTCACTCTGAGCACCTGCTGTCCCCAGTCTAGGTGACATGTTTTCTGGATTTGCCTCTAGGCCTTCAAGAGGGAGGGGGGTTTCTTTAGGCATTTTGGGAGACAGATGCCTTGGGGAGAATGCAAAGGGGAAATATTAATAGCACAATTTAGGTTATATTCTGCAGATGTGTGACAGCCTGCCAGATGCTGGCATACAAATGAGACTGTGCCATTCACCCTTAAAGCAGCCATATGTAAAATAATCATTGTCATCATGAGAATGATGATCACTGATACCAATAGAGTTCTTTTCAACCAAACTGCCTTAAGCACTGAGCTGATGGTACAAACTGGGACCCTTTTGCCTCTTGTCACTGAAGTGTAGCCACCTCTGGGGTAGGAAGTGGCCAGCTTTCAAAACACCCTCAGAAAAACACCAACCAGCAGGCAGCTCTTATTAAATCATGCATTGTTTAGTTCCATTTCTATAATGCCTCTTATCCACTACGAAGACTGAAAAACATGGTTCAGGATAGAATAATGTGGGGCTCCCAGAGCATGGTAGGAGTACCACTGGGGTGGTAGTCAAGGTGCTTCTAAGCACTATGTGGATTTTTTTCACTTCCAAAATTAGTTATGTATGATCATGACTACTAGAAAACACAACTATCATATCAATCTGATGATTTCATAGATACTGAGAAATCCACTTAAATTACAAAGTAAGTATATGTAAAGAAAAGTAAATAGTAGGACAAGTGGTCTTACAGTCTGGTTAAAAAGTAAGTCATGACTTCCACTGCCTGGCATTTGGTGTGACACTGGCATTATGGTTGAGAACACAGGCTGTGGAGTCCTGAAGGTTCTAGTAGCTCTGAGAGTCCTAAAGTTCACACTCAGTTCTCCACTTGCTGAGTTATGTAAGATTTAACATGGTTCTTAATTTATCCCCTCTCTGTTTCATGATCTTTAGAGAGGAGCTTTATCAAAGAGGATTGTGAGAATTTTTTAAAAGATTATATTTTGTATATTCATATTTAAAAGATTTATATTTTAATATGTATATGTGGATAAATCTTATATATACAATTGACCCTTGGACAGCATGGGTTTGAACTACATGGGTCTACTTACACGCATATTTTTTTTCGATAAATGCAATACAGTACTATAAATGTATTTGTCTCTTCCTTATGATATTCTTAACAATGTTTTCTCTAGCTAACTTTATTGTAAGAATACAGTGTATAATATATATAGCATACAAAATATGTGTCAATCAACCAGTAAGGTTTCTGGTCAACAGTAAGGTATTAGTCATTAAGACTTAAGGGAGCCAAAAGTTATATGTGGATTTTTGACTGCATGGGGTTCACTGACTCTAGTCCCCATATTGTTCAAGGGTCAACTGCATATAAGATATATCCATATATATGTACATACATGTACATATACACACATAAACATATATGCTTAGGCCAATACTCTGCTAAATGAATGACAAACAGATTTCAAAACAAGAATGATTATCATGGAAAGGACAAGGAAACTAAAAAAGTTGAATGTTAGTGTAGTGGATTCTATTCTGCTGAATTCATTATCTGGGTCATCTTCTCCATTCTAGACTCCTCCTCTGGTTTTGCAGTTGGGTGCTCTTTTCACGATGTTGTTCATTATACTCTAGTTACCACATATTTGCAGGGTCTCTGAAGTCCAGGGCCTTGTGTTTAACAGCAGATCAGACTGAAGCTTTCCTGGCCTCCTGACATCTTCTCCCTTCCCTCCATAGCCAGTCTGTCCTTGTCTTATGTAACACGTTCTGTCTTGAAGTGGTCGAACTTTGGCCTTAATGGGTTAACCACATTAGGACAATAACAACTCATTTCTAGATTAGTGATTTTCTAGGGCAAGAAGCAGCCCTAACTTTTCAAATTAGTTTTCTATGGTATACTTAGGATCCTTTGAACTCTCT